GGAAAAGGTCAAAGTGGGGCAGGCAGTGCCAACAAACCAGGTGATGAGGGAAAAGGTCAAAGTGGGGCAGGCAGTGCCAACAAACCAGAACCTGCTGAACAAGGTGCAAATCCACCGCAGCAATAGATACTTCTACGTTTATGTAGTGAACAACAAAATAAATTGTCAAATTTGTAGACCAGAAAGGTGTTGTGTGAGCAATCTGAGCAATAAATCCCATTCTTACAAATAATAACATCTCATTAAGGTGTAGACCCTTAAATTGGCCTACGATACTCCTTTTACACCCCTACGGTGCGAACCTATGAACCACTTCTTAACTACAAATTACTGCGGCAAGCATTTCGATTCGAGAAGGCACGCTCAGACTATGAAACGCGCTGCACGGTCCTTCAACTTTCCTACAAAATGTGCACTTGGTTAAAGAAAGGGTTCTAGCCGTTCATTACTTGGTACCGGAACACGCTAAGAGGACATTAACTAATCAAATCAACACCTCCTACACCCGAAAGTTCCTTGGTTGCAATTTCACCCGTTCATTTTACAATATTTGCAGTCCTTTATCGCGATCCATCCTACATCTCATATTCAAATAGATGTTAACATAATGGACCGTGCTGAACGCTCATTCCGAATTGTTATCCCTACGTCTTTAAAAAGCGCATCAATTCACAGCAACAGCAGTGCCTGCTCCCTTTTCCCGTGCGATTTCATTCACCTGCACTACCACAGGAAGACCGGTTAATTACCGTAGTTATCAAGGATTCGTCATTTCAGCACGCATAAATTTTATCAGAAACATAAATTCTGGTACCAGCGCACCGTCCACACTAAAAACGCCCGGTATTTAAGATTTTTAATTTTTTAACCCTTCACGAATGAAGGCATGCAAATTTTATCTTTCTGGCGAGTGCCGGTACAAGAACTGCAAATTTTACCATCCACCGCCCGATGAAATAGAAAAGTACAAGGCAATGGAGGAATACGGTGCTGGTTACAGGGGTAATGATAGAAAGGAGTATCGGCAGGATAGGATTGATTACAGGCAGGATAGGAGTGATCGAGCGGATGGATACGGGAATGGCCATAGAAGTAGCAGGGCAGAGTACAGACAAGGTGGTTACAACGAAGATTATAGGAGCGATAAAAGAACGGAATACGGGGAAAATGACAGACCGAATTATAGACAGGACAGCAGAACAGGCTACAACAGCAGATCGGACTACAAAGCAGAATCGGAATACGGGGGAGGTGACAGACCGAATTATAGACAGGACAGCAGAACAGGCTACAACAGCAGATCGGACTACAAAGCAGAATCGGAATACGGGGGAGGTGACAGACCGAATTATAGACAGGACAGCAGAACAGGCTACAAAAAAGAATACCATTACGATCGCAGAGATGATAACCGGGTCGCAAGAAGAGAATACACGCATCAGCCAAGCACCAACAGATCAGCACACAGCAAGCCGTTCAAAAAACGCTCATCGCTTTACGATCCACCACGTTGGATATTTTCGTCATATCCGAGCACCACCAATTTAATATCTGCTTCACCCGATGAGTTGCGGTACCGCTACATGCAGCTCACGCCGCAGGAATACCTGAACGAGTACCGCGAAGCGTTCATGCACAACTATGAGGTGCTTGGTGTGCTGATGGGCGATCTAGGAGATGTTGAGAGCACGTCCAAGCGATGGGTCGATCTCAGGAAGTGTGTGGACGTGTTTGATGGGTCTGAAATTGTGTTTGGTACTGGTGAAGGGGACATTCGTGGTCGTAGCGGTACGCACGCCGATACGAATACGTACAGCGAGCCGACCGGTAAGCATGGCATGTCTGGTGCTGACAGGTGCAACACCACCAGCAATTACAGAACTGCACCTTACAGCAGTGCTGGTGGTTACGGTGTGCATAGCAGCACCGTTCATACACCCTTCCCCACAGATGCACCAGCCCCCACCGTGTTTGGTCCACCCCTGCATAACGAGCAGAGAGCGCGTGATGCCGCGAACGAGGGTGCACGTACCCCCAAGTATGCATTCGGTAACATTCCCTACCTTTAATTAAACGTGTTGGAACGGTTTTGTAAATAAAAATGATTTATGACGTGTTCAGGAGTGCATGCAGCAATGCCACGTATTTTCATATCAACCGTGTGATGTGTTGTTCATTCGTTTACCCTTTTCATCTCACCGCTTTGTTTTTATTCCTCCATCCGTTCGATGCTACTGCATGTACCGCGTGCATTCTTCTTGCCATGATAAATTACCGCTTTAATCCACCATTAAACTAAAATCAATTCGCTAATCAACCATCTTTATCAGTATTGCTACTTCTGTTCGCTTCTCCACCTCTTTATGTCAATTACTCCGTTCATCCCGTATCGTGCCCATTTCTCTCTTTAATTTTATACTTGCTATTTCATGTCAAGTAAATATTTCAACCCATATCGCATTTTTTTCCTTTTTTTATTTCCATAATTGTTGCTATTTCTTATTTTTATTAATCATTTATGATTTTTCTTCTATTCCATGATTTATTAAGTCATCCCTGATCCGCAGCTCATTTATTTTTTGCTTATAATCTGTTTGTATCCTTGATCTATTTCCCAATTAATCTTTTATCACCGCTAATTCGCTATCATTTCATGGTTATTTTACTGCTATTTTGTTGGTATCATCCCTTATTCCATCTCACGTAATATTATCATATTTTTCCTTACTACCTCACATATTATC